ACACTCTCGCAAATGTATCACCCGTCCGTCAGCCAATTATATTGTCCGCTGAATGTTAAATAATTAACTTCACTCAATTCTATAATATTTTTTTAAAATTAACAATTGCTACTGAAATATTCAGCAAATGTAATTATTTATTTGTTTAGAATTTAATACAGTTTTGACATTCAATACCAATTTAGTCATGCCTCTGGTGGTGATAAAGAATTACACTAGTAATAATTTAATTATTAATTAGATTTAATTTAATGGGTTTTGGTAGACTTACCGAGTTGCTTATAATTTCAACTGACCTATTGATTCTATGTCTGCTAATCAAATAAGTACAAGCAGAAGTGCTCGTAATTTTGTATACTTATACTTTACAATTATTCACAATGTGTACCTACTTCCCATTTTTCAACACCTTAAAATGACACAAGTCCTTTGGCACACAGCCGTGTACTTGGTATAAATACATTTTAGTTTCTTGTCATATACTCGTAGAATCTAAAATAAGAAGTCCAAAAACATATTAAAAATAAAATGGTTATCAAATATTCAAATACAGTACCTATAAAGTATATCCATAGAAGATGTTACATTGTGACTTCAAATTGATGTTTCATCTAAATAATTGTAATATTTTTGTGAAACCCTGTATGATTTATAATATAAATATATGGCTAATATAATATACTTCACTTACTATCAGGAATTGTTGCAATAATCTTGATTATCTATAGAATCATAAATTCTATTTTTTCCCAAATTTTAAATTTATGGTTTCGCATTTAACAAAATATATAAACATTATATAATCATCTTAATAATTTTTCTTTACAACGGTGTTATAATGTTTACCAAGAATCTTGATCTTCCGAAAATATAACATAAATTTCTTGTTGGGTGGTATGATATTATAATTTGAACTGCACAATTTAGTTGAGAAGTTAAGCGTAGTAAAACCTATGGACATAATAAAGTTATTTGTTAAAATATTAATAATAGTATTACGGGACTCTTGGTTGGGAAGAGATTGAAGAGTAGAAGCAACCTAATATTTGGTATCGTGGTTAAGTTTATTTTATAAACAAATTAGTAAATTACATGAAACTTATATACATATTTTGAACACTTATAATTAGGTAGATAATAATATTACACACACATATATATATATTGTGAGAAAATGTTCCTACAAATAGTATTTTTAACTAAACAAAATGAATTAAACTGTTATTTCTTGATAAAATGTCCAATGCTGTCGTCAACTTAGAACTTGAAATGTCTATAAAAAAAAAAATGCATGTGTTTTTAGTTTTTTAGGTTTTTGTATTGAATTATCATGATGCTTAAGCCTTGAAAGTTGAATATTTAAAAAAATGTTAACTACAAAATAATTTGAAAATGTTAACAAACATAAATAAAGAGAGTCTTAATGAAATGAAATGATTATAACTTAGGTAGGTATATTGTAACAAACTGTAAGACGAAAGTATCATTCAATTAATTATGAAAATTCACATTGGATATAAAATATATCAGTGAAAAAATTTGTCAAGTGGTCACTAGATGGAATAATTAATGGAGACAGTTAGATCTTCATAATGGCTTTTTGGTTCACTCAGAAAATGTCCACAAAATGTCCCTAAGGAAAGAAACGGATAAAAAAATTCCAAGCATTAAAATGTCATCATGGACATTATGATCCTTTTAGGGACATTATGTAGTAATTTATTTTTCTCTTAGTATTACAATAGATTAAACTAATTCCTACCAAAACCAAATCACATTAACTTTAACATTATTTGGTATTATACAATTACTACCTGTGATTATAACCCATATGCCAATACTGTAAACAAGGCCCCTACAAGGGGGTGGTTAGACTTGTAACTTGTAGTACAGGGGCAGGATATTTTAGGGGTCTGTTGAAATAAATTTGTAATCTTTGAAATTTTGATAAAAATATTTATTTTATAAATAATATTTTATGATATAGATGTATATTATAATATAATAAGTAATTTTGTAATTTTTTTAGCTGTGTGTTAACCATTGATTTCCTAAAAAACGTGGATGGGACACCTGCATCGTTTGTATTTTATTGGAATTTTCGTATAGGGCCCGCCAAAACATTTAATACAGAGGTCTAAAATGTGGTTTGAGGTTGAGAGAGTCACTGAATTCTGTAGACCTACACGGTCGTGGTGTGAGATGGTATAGATTAGTGGCGACTACTATTTGAAACTTTTTTAGTTTACGGACATTGTTATTTTCCATGAATAATAAAAACATTTAAAAAAATACATTATAATACATTTGGTATAATTTTGAGTTAATAATTCTACCTAAACACCATTCTACAATATTGTTCATTGATATTGACTTATAAGTTAATATTAATAATAATAATATTGTACCTAATACATAACATTCTATAACGACAATAAATATTATATTAAAAATGTAAACCAATAATGAATGAATCTACTGTGTATTACATAATGTTTTATAATATTTTAAAAAACATTTTTTCAATTTCGTAATTAAAAATATCCTCACAACGTTAGAGCTATTATTATAGGATGACCCGAAGTCTCCGATTAGAATCATTTTCATATGTCATCGATTTATCATTGAATTCAATTTTAACAAAACACAAATATTACAGCAATGACCTACTCAATGACGAGGTTCACTCGGTATCTACTAAACACAGCAAAGCTAGTTTTCCGTTTTTTTCAGCATTAGGTATAGGTACTGTAATTATCACCTGTACGCTGAACTTTCGAATATATGAATTGAACTATTTAATGCATTTTGTTTTTTTTAACAGACATATATAATTATAATATTATACATAAAATAGTAAATATAATGTTACTTTTATGTTACCTACTCATTACAATAATTTGAATTTAATTATTATGATTTATCACACGTACATCGTATACCAGTCTTATACAAATATTTTATAATTGCACAGTAATTATAATTTGTAAATAAAATAAGGAAACAGATTTGTATGGCAATTAAGTTTGTATGGTTTTCATTGAATTGACACCTGACAAGTTACAAGAAATGATTAATCATTTTTAGAAACATTTTATGCAAATATTATAGTTTAAAACATTTAAGTACGAATATTATTTTAACTAAGACATCAGACTATTATAATTTTAAATTGATTTTTATTTATTCAAATCCTTGACTCTTTCAACATTTAAAATATTGTCCCTTATTGATACAGTACTATGGACTTACGGACTAAGGAATTGAATGTATACTTAAACACTTTAACAGAAGGTTATATGATATGGTATTAACTTTGGGTTAAGGCTGCCAAGGAATATTTTTTTTTTTTACTTCAAACCATAAATATTTACAATATAAATTATAATAATATTATATTAATACTATACTATGTACAGTATAGTATTACTATATGTATATGTGTTTTTATTACCTACAGCAGTATTATAATGTATAAGTAGGTAGGCAAATTGTTTGTTTTAATACGTATTATCTTATAGGTAATATATTTATGAACATATTATGGTCTTATGTATGAGTAAAAAAGCAAGGTAAAAGGGCTTTAGTTTTTGTCTTGTAGCTGGGTAAAGATTTTGTGATTAATATCTATTTTCCATAATATCCACAATGCCCTAACTGAGTCCATCTTCACTAAAGTTCGATAAATTAATATTTCATTCAAGCGCTGGTAACTAGTAAATATTATTTGTTTCTAAACTCTTTTCTTAATATAGTTATAGTATTGTTGTTTATAACCTTATGAAACTATAAAGTATACCATGTACCTTGGTGAAACTAATTGTATTTATATAGCCTTCTAGCTTTAATGAATTATCAGAAATTATATTAATTTCACTCAAAGATAGTTTCAAAACATGTATATTAAATATTAATTAATATATACATACAAATAAATTATAACCTACATGAGCATTAATTAATATTTAACACATTAAATAATCATGAATACGTAATTAATATGACTGTTATTCTAAAAATTAAATTTAAAAATGTTCTCATATACTTAATCCTTGATTAGCCACACTCTAAAAAAGGGCTAAATTTGGATGCACGGGTTCTATGTAGTTGTTGATCTAAGCTGATCCAGTTAATAAATTTATTTTAAATAACACACTATCTTTAAATTAAACCTATTAATAAACAAATAATTTAAACATAAATATTGGAATTTAACATATTTTTTCACAAAATGTAATAAACTTGTATTTATGGAGGTACAACTATACGAGGATAATAAACCGGTTACAACACTACGAAAAATACAATTTTAATAACTCGTAAATTTTAAATTTATCTATTATAGACTCCTATGATCTAGAAATCGTGCTATCAAGGGTTAAAAAGACAAAAGCTAAATATAGTCGTTTTTATTATGCTTGCAAGAATATTTTGTTTAGAATACATTTAACAGAATTCACAGCAGTTATTGGGAGTGCACTATGAGTCAAGATGTTTGGTTTTTTTAACTATATGAATTTGTATTCATTATACTACCTAATAATATATAATGAGGTCATAAGGAGTACCTATTGGGTACACTATATTAAGTACGCTCTACAAATACCATGCATTTTTAAAGTCTTTACACACACATTTTTCGGGAGCAATTAAAATATTACAAACTTTTTTTTTATACTTCAGTTAGCCAGGTTCAGTTTACAACTGTTTTTCGAATATAATTTAAAAAACACCCACTTGGTGAACGATAATATTTTATGTTTTTCTATATTAGTATTTCATTAATAAGAGTTTCCTAAATTAGCATGATTAAAAGTGAAGTAATAAGAGTATAATGTAAAATAAAAAATTATAATTATAGTAACTATGATGTACGTATTAAAATGACAAATTAATTTTAAATAAAACCAAAAATTGTTTTAAAATAAAAATCATTATTGCCGTCAACACGCTATGTACCTGTGACCTGTGTATAATTATTTTATTTTCGTGTGTTACAGACTTATACCCACATACAACGATGGCGACGAGGATGACGGGTCAATGCTGTTTTGGATCTTAGACATCATCGAATACTCTATGTATTTCACAACTATATACCTCGTCAAGAGAATAATAACTTTAACGAATTTACTTTGAGAATGAAATAAACGTATTACGATAAATGTGTAAACCTATGCCTTCAACTTGCACTTGGAAAAGTTTTGCGTGAGAGAAATTGTAGGACATAATAATATAAGGTGGTACATAAATCACAATAAAATTTCGTTTTTATTTATTATTTAATTTCGAGAGACCTCATCCTTGTTGTAACGGCACATTCGCGTTATTACCTGAGTGGTGGACACTATATTTCATGGTGTAATATCGTGCCGCCGCATTCATTTAGACTTACCCTTACAAAAATCACATGTCACAAAGTTAATTAATTGTGTAGATATTTCATATTATTATACGCAACTGTAACACGCTGTGGCTGAAATGCGGTGGACGCACATTGAGAGAGTATTCGTGTGAACAGCCAATTTCATAATATTAAATTTACTTGTTGTGCTCGTGATTTTAGCATTTTGCACTGATACCTGAGTAGCTTAAGTATAGGTCTACGTGATCACTTGCTTACATGTACTAGGTTCCAGGTTAAAAATAATTAAGAAAGTAAAAATGATTAGATTGAAAATCACGATCAGTGGAGTACACAAGCTGTTAAAAATATATATAATAACATGACGTAGACACTCGTGAATTTTTTTTTCTAAATAAAATAAATAAAAATCAGCAGGTAGTAAACTTGAATTTTTAACATAATCGCTATAGGTACTTCCTGTTCCTCTAATATGCATATATTCGTATCATGGTGATAAAATATTCGTAGGTAGTCCATCAGAATTTAAGCCGTTTCCCAAGGTAGTGACATTGATTTATTTTGAACATAATAATATATGATACACTATACGATGATATTATTACTTAATACACACAGCACGATACTTCCAAAACAACATTTTTTATCGAACTTAAGATCTGTGCACAGGGTGGACGACACATCAATAAAGTCGTGGCACAAAACGAAAATTAAGTATCCTTGATCCTTTAAATTATAATATACTATCCAGTGTCCACCAACTAATGGACAGATGGGCAACTAATCATTATTATACATATCACTTTCATTTTTAAGTTTTAAGGGAAAACACCATCATCGTGGTTATTTACTATTCCGAAAACATAATACAAAAACAATTTTTATTTACTTGATTAGGTACCATAAAAAATGGATGATGCATATGGATCAAATAACAAACAAAAATATTTGAGGAATTTTTTGATACTATCGAGTGTCGATATAAAAAAAAAAAATAAACAGGAGAACTCACTCTGATGTAGTGTTGAGTCGATATAATAAAACATTTATCTTGATAAATATTTACAACTTTCGAGAAAACTTGCCTAATAAATCAAATTCAATTTTTAGTTTTTCGAAAATTAAATGCATGGTGTTTAGATGCTACAACCTAATTAAAAAAATATATAATAACATTAAAAATGGTAGGCAATTTATTATAAATACATTTTTGAAATAAATTACATGAGTAAATACTTATATATACTTAAATGCAAATTGGTGTACCTACTAATTACTCAAGAATATTAATTATACACAAAAAATAATAACCAGTTATACGTCTTAGTACTCCAGATTAAAATAATAACACTTTGAATGTCTTAACATCAACAAAGTTTTATTTGGGTGCAAATAATTGTACAGCAGCATTTTTGGTCTTTTGAAAGATGATGGGAGTGGTTTTATATTAATAAAAAAAAGATGATTTTATAGAAAGAAAATTATCTAAGTAATAAGTTCAGGTAATGAACTTTTTCTTCTTTGAATTAAAAAAAATAAACTTAAGATTATTAGTTAATAACGTTTAAATGTCTTGATTAATTTGAATATAATGTATCAGGTAAGTTATTCATTTTGAGATGATTATTTTGATTGTATGAACTGGAATAAAATTCATCATCTCCCTCATCACCTCCTACATCGGCATTGTTATGTACAATTGTAAAGTAATATAGTAGATAATTAATCAAGTTAATTACAGGAAAAAAATAGCATTCATATAGTTTGACACTAGTACACCAGAATTGTACAATTATATCTATTTACCTATCAATTAATTTTGAATTAGCGTGTGGGAATAAAAATTGTCTGTTATATTATTCTGCACTTAGGTACATAGCTAATGAGGTGAAACTGTGTACCAATTGGTGTAAAAATGGGGGTAGGTATAATGATGGTTGATTCGTTTATAATTTAAGAATAATTTATTACGCTTAATGTACTTTTATAAATTAGGTTTGGTGGGGTGAGGATTAGTCCTCCTCATCAACACGGGAACAATAAATTATTGGTGGGTGGTGGCTTCTAATATTTGAAATTGTTGCTTCATATAGAAAAAGGAAAAACCACTAAGTTATGAATACATATTTTCAACAACTGAAAATGTATGCCTACACTATTGCATTATATTCTGATTAATACACAATGTTATGTTTTAGGTATATTTTGTATATTATACACGTATAACAACAACATACAATTACTGTCGCATTTTACCGTCTACAGATTTATGTTTGTATATTTTGTTGAAAGATTCTCATTTATTTATATATTCTAGATTAACGAGATTTTTTTCTTCAAACTACTAATTTATAAATAATTAAAACAATCTTCACAAAATGTTTTTTTTTTTTAATTATTGTCAATTGTTTCATGATGATTAACAATTTTTGAACATTGATAATACTCTTTTCGTGTTTCAAATAAAATGTATCTAGATAAGGTTCTAAATTCTGAGCTGAGATTCGAGTCTATATTGATTTTACAATAATATGTGTTTCTTTTCTGTCTGTTGTCATCTTTTGGAGCAGTAAAAATAGGATAATTTTCGACATCGAGGGTGGTATTCTAGAAAATTGGATTTAGTTGGTCTTTTGGTTGGTTGAAAGTTGAAATTCCAAGTACTTTTCATAATGACCGGGAAAAATAAAAAAAAGGAAAAATAGGAATTTTTACTCAAAACCAATTTTTATCAAAACCGATTTTTCTTTCGGTGTCACTTAAAACTTTTTATGCTAAAAAATATATTATATATAATTTTCACATTATATTGGCTTTTTTTTCAAGTTTTTTTAATGTTTGACTTTTTATAGTTTGTTCTTCGCTTCACGCATGATACAATTTTCGATATGAGGTAAAACAATCTTAAACATTTAATGCAAGATAACTAATGAGGTTTTTTCACTGGAATTCGAAGAAGTTTATTTTACAATTGTTTATAAAAATCGTTTATCAAAAATTATATTTTGACAAAATTGAATATTATTCGTTACAAACGATTTTTTATTTCGTTGTAACTATTCAAATACTAATAATCTAGATACTTGGAAATTTTTAAAATATGTTATTAACATTTTGCCTAGATGTGATGAGTATTTCAAAATACTTTGACCGTTCGTAAGATATTTGAAATATTTTTTTTTTATACTTTTTCTATGAATGTCGATCTAAAATAGTCTGCTCTATCAAAAAGCTTTAAAATATAGTTTATAGGTTGGGCCTCAACTATATGTTTACACTAATATTTTCATAACTTGTTGTGTTAGCTATAGGTATTTAAAAATACTAAAGATAGACACATGATTTTGTTTTAAAAAGCATTCAAAGTTCAAATTTTGACAAAATTCGTCATAATTACGAACATTTTCTAATTATTTTTTATTGATAAATGTATAAAATTATAAAAAATATAGGTATAAAATAATATTTTTTTATAGCTGATGCGTGAAAATGTAATAAAAGATCCCTTATAAGTTATAAGTTATAAGTAATATCATTGTGAAACTAAAAAATCTGTAAAATGCATTACCATAATTTTTTTTTTATGCACTTACATTTTTTGTAAATTCGGACAAAATTAGATTTTTAAGCGAAGTAAAGACATAACCTACAGGTATTTTCTTCATTGATTAGATTCGAATATATTAATCGTACTGAATTGAGAGTCGTACGTAAACTATTATATTTTATACACATAATGACATATTCAAATGCAACGTTTCCAAGTAAATTATACATCTAATTTTTTTAATGGTCAGCCAGTAAATTAAAGATTATGCCCTACAGTCCTATTAAGTTGTTAAGTGCTCCTAAACTCTGTCTTATTGTTACCTATATTTCAAAGAAATAATAATTAGGATTAGTACTTACATTTATATTTGTCTTTTTAAATTAAAAACAAATTTATCAATTAATATCTATTTTATTTGATAATCACTGTCCATCATTTTCTGTTGCTGGTATTCTTATCATGACTGAAGTCATTTCATCGTCATTCATGTCTATGTGTGCATAAAGCTTGACAGTCTTATCAAAACTGTCAAAAATGAATTTAAAACATGTTTTTAGGTATTGGGAGTCAAGTATCGAATTGATCCCTCGATAAACTGCAACAGCTTTTCTCCTATATACGTTGGAAGTCAAGGCATTTTTAAACCATATAACAACTGATATAAGATACGCTGTGAGTTCCTTAAGCTTTTCAGTAAGTGATTCCGGTTCTGTCGGTGGAACCACTGAAGTCGAAGATTTCGATATCGATCCCGACTGAGTATGCTCAACAGAATGTACTTGCAACGATTTCTTCGATAACGATTTCTTCGATGGCTCAACGATGGAAACCTTCTTCAACGATTCATTTTCTTCCTTTACAGATCTTGGCTTAGAAACTGCTGAATTTTCACTGTGTGCTGTACTTGTGCCGATCGACATTGTCTGGCGAGTATTTGATGCGTATAATGCGTTCAGTTCTGATGACTCAAAACTATGAAAAAAAATATAAATGAAACCTCACATCAGTTCTATAGAATTATAACAAATATTAAAATATAGACGATTTAATCCCCCTCCTCCCTTAGGCTCCACTGTGGCTCTGAACTCACTCGTAGGCCATTCGAGCCCGGCGATAAGTAGCCATCATTCTTGTCATCCGTTCGGTAACTGCTTTGAAACGTTTGTCCATTGGATCCAGCCGGTCGACCTTGAACTTTTGCAAAAGGTTGACAAACATTTGGATCCTTACCGCTGGCGGCACGGGCTCGAAAGCCATCCGTTTGACTGAGTTCATCCAGTAGTCGTTTTCTTCATCAGCATCGACAACTTTAACCACCACCGGCTTTTGACGATGTAACTCTCTGGCGATCGCGGCGGACACCAGGTCGTTCCTGATCGCCAAAATGACGATCCCCAAGAACAGAGCTCCGGCGACTATGTACGAAAAGGATGACAGGATCGCCAGTACAATGGTGTAGATCAACGGCATGGTATTGTACCTACAGTAGTGTCTAGTTGTTATAGTTGTTGATCCTAACTTTAAAATAATTGTATAATAATATACTTATGACTGATAGGTTAGGTACATTCTAACTCTATTTCATTTATTGAGGTACCTTTACTTACCTATAATAAAGTAAGTGGTTCAAATTATATCATTAAAAAGTCATGTACCAATAGATTGGAAGGAAAAATTGTGTAGGAAGGTAACCAACATTTTTGAATACCCGTATTTGTGTAATGACTAATATAAAACACGAAGAAGATAGCCATTTACCATTAAAAATTACTTTGTTAAAAGGCATGGCAAAGAACACTTACTGATTCAAAATTCGCACAGTGTTTATGAGCTTGACACCAATAATAGCAGTTTTAAAAAATATCATAAACAAAATATAAGTTTTTGATGTATTAAAAGTTATTTAATCTGTTATTGTTTATATGTTGATGGTCAATTAATTTAAAATTGTTTGAATGAAAAAGGTTATAATTTTTATAATATCCTTTTTTGTTGTTTTTTTATTTTAAATCATCGTATAATTGAATTGATTGTTTTAATAATAAGGACATAATCATTTTAATTCCTATAATCTTATAAATATTATTTTACTGCTGTGTTATAATATATTTGATTTTATACTTAAAATTCAGCTTAACATTTGGAGGTGTTTATGTCTCCTTTTTTAGTTAGGCTTGTGTGATCAAGGATTACACATTGAATAACTTTGTAATTCATATACTCCTCATTCAATATCACATGTGTATGACTTTGTACTGTAAATATACTTATACTAACATACAATATTTAAATAAGAAGTAACTAACCATAAATGGCGTAAATGATGATGGTGATGATTTTTAAACTGGGTGGGGAGTTATAAGTGGCTCTCCAAAATTGAGTGTATAATTGTATACAGATATGAATACAAATTTAATAATAAGTATATTTTATTAGGTATACATTTTCTTTTCAATAAAAAATAATAATATACTATGAGTAACTTTATTACTTTTAAGTTGTACATATTCATAAATAATAATATAAGTGAACCGTTCCTATGATAGGATATTCTCGTATAATATCTGTAAATAAATATTCATAAAAAGATAGAAGAGCTTATATGAAACAAAAATAGGTATGAAATGATATACCAATGAATGGGAAAAAGTTACATAAAATAGGGTTGAATGGTTACGCAGATTCATTTCAGCATATAATCATCAATGTATCGACGATATTATTAAAGATATGTTAAATTAACATAATTTATTCGGCGCTGATTGTGCATTTCACAATATATAACTTACGGACTGAATAAGAAATTTTTGATCATAGTTCATAAGTAATACATTAATCGTCTGAATTTACTCTTCATGTACTCTAAATTTAGAAAAATCTTTACGCTTAATTTTCACTAAATATATGGTTTTTACAAAAAAAATCATTTACATATTTATGTTTATATGTATGTTTACTATACATACTTAGTATATTCTTATTATTAATTATTAAAAGTAATTAGTAAATAGTTAGTACCTAGAGTACAAGGCATTAAGTTTTAATTAGTTATAATTCAATATAATATGTATTATAATTATATAATGTATTAGTTTAATATATAATCTTCGTATTTATAAAAGTGTTTACAATATTAATTGGTCTTTGACTAGATAGTGACTGGATATTGTTAAATTAGTTACTTTTGATTCTAAGACCAGCAGATTTTTCGTAGAACATGTTTGTCAATATAATATTCAAAGAAATTGGTTTGCAAGTCAGTGATATACATACTTAAATGGTTTATAAGGGCATCAGGCGTCCAACTCGAAGACACACTGCATTAAAAGAGTAGAAGACATTCACTTAATCTAAGTGCAATGATTTTAAAACTAATAATAATAAAGGTTTTAAATTATAGTAAAATAGGAAGCAAACATTTTTTTTTACTTTTTAGCTGATATTTTACTATTTTAAATCTAATATTGACAAACAATACATATTTAGGTTGTCAAGGGAAATATTTTAAAAAACTCAAATAATGTAGAAAAGTCTGCTGTACATCTTCCTTACATTATACACAATTATTTTGTACGTGTATAAATATTTGAACTACTCCTAAAAAGGGTTGGAATGATTTTGATGACATGTTTTGCGAGTGGGTCAGACGAATGGTTTAGATTCACAGTTGAATCCGGTAGGATCCTCAGACTAGGGTTTTTGAGACTTACGATGGAAATAGTTATTTATAAATGGTTGCTATAGATTACAAAAGAATTAATTTGTATAAGAAATTATTTTTTTTTTTTTGAACATGCTATTAGTTACTTGAGCAGATGAGTTGAAAGCATACATCAAATTGTCACTACCTATGTGGTTTCAAATAAAGCAATAATTGTTACGTAAATATTAAAACACATTTGAGAGTTGAATGTTATAGCTTAAAAAGGTACTCAAAAACTATTTACCCGATTTTGTGAACATTTAAAATTATTCTTGGAGATATCAGGAAAATTTAGGAATTAGTTCGAACCACATTTGATTAACACGAGCTATATCTAATTTGTCACAAGCGAATTGTTCAGCTTAGGGAAAAGCGATGTGCAGCTAATTGTCCTGTAAACTGAGGTACATTCGATCAGCTCTACCCTAAACTATGATAGGTATAGCGACTTGAAATTCGCAGACATATTCGTATTATAGACTAAGCAGTAAGCATGTTCTAATAACGGATTTTGAATAATTTTGATTTGAAAAAGGTGGTCACACAGGGATTACACAGGTGGGAATTAAAACTTTTTTTTGTTTCTAAATGGTTCTCATTTGTTGAATATTATACTATTATCAGTAGAAATTAGTACTATGATTTTTTATTCTATAAAAATGGTTGATAATAAATAAATGTGCGATCTAGTGGTCATTTTGCTGTATAGTTACTTTGTTAAAACCTTAGTGTTCGAAAAAAATCGATTATACAGTCTATAGTACCATTGGTAAAAAATAATAATCACCATGCTTAAAATAGTAAGATTATTTGAAGCTGATTTATTTTGATAGTGTTATTATATTTAGAGTTGATTTAAAATAATTATAAAATGTCGACTGAAGAGATAACTATTAACGACCATATGAGATCTCAAATAGTTGTTACTGCTACTGGAGGTTAGATTAAGTAAAAACGACAAACTTCGTATAACATTGAAACTTTAGAGTTAGAAATTTTAAACTTACGTACGAACCTCGTGGGGTAGATAAATAAATAAATAAATATATATATATATATATATAGATATGTGTATATAATATTATATATAGCCTACCTGATAATACGTACACTGCTTGCATATTCACAAGCTAGTCTCATGGGCAACGTCGGGCGGGATGGCTATAAATTATAATATAATATGATTTACACTAAAAAGTACATTGCTTTCACAGTCAATTACACCCAAAAGGAGTTGAACCATCAATATTTTTTTCATTGGTTAATTCAGCTAGTTATGTTATAATATTATGATTCCTAAACAGCACAACTATATATTTCGTTTATGCACAAGAATAATGTTTAAATCAAAACACTATTTACACAGGGTAGCATTTAAACTATGGCAAATCTCTCTGATTACGTGTCGAGGGTCAAGCCGGTGAACTTGGTCTAATAAACCCAGCTTCGAGATTTTCGTCATGTGATGCTAACAGATGGTTTCATGGGCTCTGCGTTTTCTCAATTGGAAATGTCATCCATAGCTGTTACACGAATCAACAAGCAGGCGAGTATTCGAATTTTCTAAAAGGTAGCTGATTCCCTAGGCGTAAATGGAAGAAAACGACCTATACGCGTCGGAGACACGGTCTAAAGAATTCGGTGTTTTTTTTAAACACGAAGATGTATCATTGTTGCGCAATAACAGCCCTGCAAACTATATAACAGAAGAATATCCTCACCTATGATTCACGACTCACACAGACTCATTCAATTATCCTACTCCTGTATCACAGTAGGTGGGTTAAAAAAACAATAGCAGGGGCCCACTATATCGGCGTACTGTAAAGTATGTAATAGTAGGTACACCCTATGAAATATTTACCGTTCCTGCTAGAATCAAAATGCTGTAATAAATGTTAACGTTAATAAAATATTAAAATGCCTACCTACAACGCGAAACATTTTTCGTGAAGTCGGCGGTAATGACTTTTTTCTTAAAATATCGCACTTAAATGTATTTACCGCAATATGCCAAACGAGTAAATATCGGTCTGAATGCGAACGTTAAGTGAAAAATTATTGACATAATATTATGCACTAGCTGAATCCGGCCACACGTTTTGTAATGGCTCGGTCTGATATTGAGTTAATGCAAGTGTATAAATAAACGTTATCTAGTTAACATGGATAGACAAGTATGTCATTCAATTTAATTGCGTTTCTGTAGTTTGGATGTACAAAAACTATAAATAATATAATATTGTAGTGGTCTGACGACTACAACAGGTATCGTCGAGAGGAAGAGGATGAGATGTACTTTTTAAACAAACTTGCAGTAAACAGTTGGATTGTGGTATAATTTATTGTAAAATGTTCAATTAAAACACTTTAAAATTTAACTGAAAAACTATTACTCTGTATTAGAATATTTGTTTCAGAGAATTATCCTAAGTGTCTACAAAAATATTTGGTTTAACTCGAATATTTTCTAAGTGTTTTTTCAAATAATTCACTTTTCAAAATTATTCTAAGTCTAAAATAATAAATTGAAAAACTGACTGGCGATGGCGTGAAGGTGCTCTGGCTCGTCTGGTCAAATCACATCTTAATCATGGGCTGCTCGGGGCTCTCCTATATAGGCCTACCCTCTACTACACTCAGCCCACTCGATCCTAGTGTCCTTCAGACGGATGTCTCGTCCGCCGGTTATCGTTTCGGGAAATGCTTGAGGCCCACGCCTCGATATGATTTATACGGGAGCATATCCTGGGTGTGATGGCATTTT